TTAAGTAGGAATTTTTCCTCATGACCAGTCTACGTTTTCTCTCAAGTTCTTCCTAAGATGCTTTTCCATCACATTTAACTGTTAATGGATTTCTTAGGATTTAAGGAATATTCCACTCACCTTCTTTTTCCTTCCTTTCAGATCCCAATTTGACAAAATGAATTTGATATTTCCATTTTCTCCTAATTTTTGAATCTATTTTCTGTCCTCACTACTCAATGTAAACTACATACTTTTTCTGTTTACCCTTTTTATCATGGACAGCAAATGCCTCTCTATCTCAATTCTCTGCTGGCTAGATACTGAGCTCTCCTGTTCTTCCTTATATTCCTTTCAAATCTAGATCCTGGTGCATAATTTTCTTTCACTTTTTCTTTCTTTTCCAATTACTCCTTTACTGTCATTAAGAGATGCCCTTTTCTCATGTCCTCTCATGATCTCTTCCAGAAACTGGATGAAGTTCATCCTTTTAGTACCATTTCTGATTTTACCTGCTCTCATGGAGTGAATTGTGTCCCCCAAAAATGTGTGTTAACTTGGCTAGGCCATGATTCCCAGTATCGTGTGGTTGTCCATTTTGTGATCTGATATGATTTTCCTATGTGTTGTAAATCCTTCCTCCATGATGTTAATGAGGCAGGACTCAATCTACAAGATTAGACTGTGTCTTAAGTCAATCTCTTTTGAGATATAAAAGAGAGAAGAGAGCAGAGAGACAGGGGGTCCTCCTACCACCAAGAAAGCAAAGCCGGGAGCATAGCACATCCAAAGGACCCAGGGTCCCTGCACTGAGAATCTCCTAGACCAGGGGAAGATTGATGACAAGGACTTTCCCCCAGAGCCAACAGAGTGAGAAAGCCTTCCCCTGGAGATGACACCCTGAATTCGGACTTCTAGCCTCCTAAACTGTGAGAGTAAATTTCTCTTTGTTAAAGCCATCCACTTGTGGTATTTCTGTTATAGCAGCACTAGATAACTAAGACAGAATTTGGTACCAGAAGAGTGGGGTGCTGCTCTAACAGACACTTAAAATATGGAAGTGGTTTTGAAACAGCCTCAATGGTAGAGGCTGGAAGAGTTTTAAAGTGCCTAAAAGCCTGGAGCCCTGGTTGGTGGCGCCGTGGTTAAGAGCTATGGCTGCTAACCAAAAGGTTGGCGGTTCAAGTCCACCAGCCGCTCCTTGGAAACCCTATGGGGCAGTTCTACTCTGTCCTATAGGGTCACTATGAGTTGGAATCAACTCGACAGCAATGGGTAATAGTAAAAGCCTAGATTGCCTTGAAGAGATTGTTGGTAGAATTATGGACATCAAAGACAATTCTGGTGAGGACTCCGAAGGGAGCCAGTAGAGCTGTTACACTACAGACAGTGCAGACGGCAAGAAGCAGCAAAATGGCAGCAGCAGAACCAGGAGACCAGCGCAAAACGGCGCTGGAGCCGACCCACGAAGCAGAAAGCTGAATGCCTTTGCACGGGAGGCTTACTAGCCAAATGGAGTGCCTTCAGGCACTTATCAGTGGAGCTAAAGAGCTTTGGAACACTCGCCCCAGCAGGGCAGACATGGCTGCAAGGCCCGTAGGGCCGAGAGGCCAAAGAACCACAAAGCAGAAGCTGAAGAGACAAGGAACACAGGAAGTAGAGCTGCCTCAGTTTCAAAAAGTAGGGCCACGACCTCTGGGGTCTCAAAGGGTGGAGCCAAAGCCTCCTAGGTTTCAAAGAGTAGGATCTTCACCAACTTGGTTCCGGAGTGTAGGGCTGCCGTTCACAAGTGCCAGTGGGATGGGGCCAGACCCACCTCTCAAAGCTGAGGGGGTGGGGCTGCCATGTCCAAGGGGCAGAAGAACAGGGTCTGCCAGGGCCAAAGGGTTTGCCACTCAGATGGACTAGATGAATGGTGCCACCCAAATCAGAGGGAGCAGAGTTGCATTCCAGTGGGCCTGGAAAGTGGAGCTGAAGCCCAGGGCTGAGGGGCCTCCGCTCAGAATCTGGAGAGTGTGGCCAACAGCCAGAGTCTAGAGGGCACAGCCATTGCCTAAATGGTCTCAGAGAACAGAGGATTATTTTCAAGCCTTGAGAGGTAATATAATGTGTTCTACTGACTTCTTGGTGCCCGTTATCACTTCCTTCCTTCCAGTTTCTCCATTTGTAATGGAAATGTCAAGCTTGTGCTTGTTCCACCATTATACTTTGGAAGCAGATAACTTGTATTCTTTGATTTCACAGATGAAGAGGAATTTTTGGATTTTGGACTTTTAAGAA